CGGGCAGAACACATGGCACATTAAATAATATTGTGTTATATGAGGCTTTGAACAATATCAGGAGATAGCGTAAAAGTAAATATTATGTTAAAACAGATAGAACGCTAAATTTAATAACTGTTAAATGATCTAAATTGTACTTAAACAAAAGGAACAGACTTGTGATAATTATAAAGCTAGTCAGAAATTAGTACTATGAATTATGATTGTAAAAAATAACATCATTCCTCATTTTAATTAGGCCCTAAACAACAGTTCACTGCAGTACATTGACCGTTTCTCGTTGAGTATTGATCATAGTCGCCACGTATGGTTTATGAATTGGTGATCACAGTATCAATTACTGCAAGCCTTTCACACTGCTCTCCCTCGCTGGCGCAGATAGATGGCTGTAGAGAGGACCATTATCGTTTCCTACCCTTCCCATGATGAAATGAGATCGTTTAGCTGGCTTCATTCAATTTACCAGAAGATTTGTAAGTCTATTTGATCAGACATTCCAAAAATCTGTCTTTATGAAGAACAAACATGTTATCGTATTATTTCAGCCACACTAATAGCATAATGTGAAAGAATGTTTTCTGTTTTCAAAATATTTTTTATATGCCGATGACTTAAAATTTATGAGAATAATTAAGAGTGATGATGACACCAAATTGCTACAAGGTGACATTGATAGACTAATCCAGTGGTGCTGCAATAACAGAATGTGCTTAAATACAAGCAAATGTTATCATGTTAAATACTCCAAAAAACAGAATTTAATACATGTCAATTACTTCATTTATAATAATAAAATTAAGGAAGTCGAGACTATTCGGGATCTTGGCGTAATATACGATAAAAAATTAACTTTTGTACCACATTTGGATAACATTATTATGAGAGCATCTAAAATGTTGGGATTTGTTATAAGGAACTCAAAAAATATGCATTACAAAACTAAAATATTTCTTTACAATAGTCTAGTTCGTAATATTTTAGAATATTGTAGTTTGGTCTGGAGACCACACTATGCTACACATTCATTACGTATTGAACGTGTTCAAAAGCGGTTCCTCTGGCATCTAGCATATTCTATTGGTAAAGCAAAAAAGCTACGGTCCTATAATAGCAAATTACATCTTTTTAATGTGGAAACCTTAGAGAGTCGCAGAAAGTATAATGATGCAGTTTTTGTACATAAAATATTTAATTCTACATTTAATTGCCCAAGTTTAATGGAACTTTTTAAATTTCGTGTACCCTCGAGAGTACCCCGCAGTTCTATTGCACCACTTAATTCACCATTAAGAAGAACTGTATTGGGAAGGAATTCTCCATATGCCAGATTCTGTAAAGTTATTAATGAATACAGCGATCAAATCGACATTCACTTTGACTCACCCAGAATATTCTCTAAGTGTCTCCGTAAATGTATAAGTTAATAGCGTAAAGTAGGTTTTTTTTTTTTAATTTTTTATTATTTTAATTTTTTGAGTTTATGTAGCACTATTCTTACTAATAGATATATTTTTAATTTTAATTGAGAAATAACTTATTGTTTTTTCAGTTTATGTTTTATAAAGTTATATGCATGCGGAGTTTACCTTTAAGTAATTGTAGCACTTTTGTTAATACTTTTAAGTTATTGTACTAATTTGATGTGTTAGTGTTAGCAATTGTTGGTAAACCTAATAAATAGAAAATAATGTGACCATTAATCATGTATTCTTAATTTTTAAATGTACATATTCAAGTGGACTATTTATCAAAGAAAAATAAATGCCAAGGACCTATGAGACATATGGAAAGCTACATTAAATATATGTCGTACTTGTTCGTAAACACAGGTTTTTAAAATAGAAAGTTTTTTTTTTATAAAAAAAAGTGCAGAAAAGTAATAATAGCTACTTTTACATAACAGTATAAAATTCCATAGATGTTCTTTTTAATTAAATTAAGGAAATGCTCTCCTAACATTCAAAAACTAGTAGGTACAAGAAAAGTATTAATTATGTAATCAAAACAGACTTGTATAACCGACGCGCTAAAACCTTGAGTCGGACCGCCACCGTGACACTTTCTGCTAACCTTTATTGGCTATTAAGTTCGTTTTAATAATTGATACTGTAACGTCTGTTGTGCTGTCTTTATATTATTAAATTATGTTTGATCTAATTAAAACACCGTTATTTTTATTAGATAGTATTTATGTCCTGAGTAGAAAAAAAAAATATAAAAAATAATTGACAATATAGGGGAAAGAAAGCCTTATATTCAATGATCATACCTAATTTGACTTGTCTAAAGATATTATCAGTTTCGAATTTATAGGAATTCCCGCAAGAGCACCACTGGGCTGTAGTACCTCCATAGACACCTTTGTAGAAACCTTTCATTTTTGATGCAAGAAAAGGCAATTAAGGAGCACACAGTTCTTGTAGGCCAACGCCATATTTGTTCCGTGTGGGTTACTACCAAGCCGTTATATTCTATATAAGCATTTCTTAATCTACCGCTGGATATAGGTCTTTTCAAGAATGCATATGACTAGCATGAATTCTTTGAAATATTTTTCCATAGTCAATTGGTGTTGTTGTGTTCTTCTCCACCACGGTGTTGGAATATAGATTCGGCATTGAGGAAAAAAAGCATTAAGAACCATTAGTCGTTAATATAATGAATTAATAATAACCCATTGGAATGAGGTGGTCGCTGCCAAGCTACTTCTTATATAAGTTTTGTAAGTAGTTTGTACCACCGGTGTATGATTTTACTATAAAAAATAAGCCTTTTTTATGGTTTAAAAAAAAGTCTCGCTGGATTTCTTGCTCTTCTTCTCTGAGGTTTTTTGTTCTTCCCAGGACAGGAGATTTTTTGTGAACCAGTGGTAAAAGTAAAAACTAAATTTAGTAAGAATTATTTGCAATCTATATTTAGTAAAAGGTTATTCTATTCCATTCTAATGACTCTCGAAAATGGCACGTAGCAAGGTTCAGGAGAGGCAATCCGGGTTATCACCTGAGTAGTGTTGGATGAGACTTTCTCTTGGAATACTCACACGTGCGTGTGGTTCTTCTATCTTTTCGTGATCACTCGGTCGGGACCCCGGAAGAGGGAAATTAATGCAGCAGCTGTCGGTCTTCAAATTTGTTAATGGCCACGCTTGGAAATCGATTTGGCATATTTTATTGTTATTAGTGAAAATTTGACAATTCTTACTACGCTATTGTTTCACATACTGATCTCAGGCATATTAGTGGAAATCTAGAATCACAAACACTTGACGATTTTTAAAGCAATTTCAACATTTCATCGATATTGATTGGTTTCGATCACTGTAGTAAGTACATACTCACATTTTTATTGTGATAGAGCTCTGGAATCTGTGCTCTACAGGCTGTTAAGGTATTTTGTGAGAACAATATTTCTTTCTCGAAAAAAAAATTGTCCAAATTACGTAAAGTCGTAATCGGTCGGACTAGGTCTGGCGCGTAGATACAGAGGATGACGTAGATTTCTAACTGCAGGTCTTGTAATGTTAAAATAGTTTGTCGAACAGTGTGAGGTATTACATTATCATGGAGCAATAATAGCAAAGATCGTTTGACGAGTCGGGATGCTTTCTTTACGAGTTTCGCCACCATTGATCGTAGTTCTTCACAATAGGTATCTATTGTTATTGATCCACTTTCATCACATGATACAATTTTGACCAACATACCTTTATTTGACTGTGTCAAGACTCATCAAAGCAAGGCATCGTGTGCTTTTCTATGCCCGTCAGGTTAATTCATGAGGTATCCATGTCTTGAGTTTTTTATTTTACCAATTTAGTGCAAATCAGTCAATATTTTTGCTGAACTAACGTCAAACCATGACGCTAATTCTCTCATGGTTTGGCGTTGGTTATTAAGAATCGGCATCCATCATTACTATTAATTCATCGTCATTCACCTTAATGTCTGGTCTTCCTCGTGATTTTTTCTTCAAGCCGAAGTTCGTTATCTCTATCGTCTCCTAACGCAGCATTAATATTGCGAGCTATTTCTGCTGCGTTAGAGAACTCGTATTTGAAAAGTACTCTGATTTATGACGTCTCAATGTTTAACGCAAATGTAAAAAGCAATTGAAAGTCAAACAATATAATGTCATAAAATTTAGAATGATGGTAGTATAAATTAGAAAATTTTGGTGTAAAAAAAAAGATTTAATCAAGAATCTAGAACCATGAATATTTAATTTGTGAGCACTCCATTAAAACGGAAATTTCATACTTTAACTCCTATCATATCTGTTTAGCACAAACCACTTACATATTATGCCTATGAGGTAAGTTAAATTTCAACTTTATTAACAAATTACATTTTAGTAAGCCACAGGGTGGCCTCTAGGCGCCTTTGGTAAGAATATGCGGCACGACACAAAGACCACCGTATCTAAGCGCATAGACATACAGATTTGAAACAACTCTGACTGTTTTCTATGCCCGTTAAATAGGTATATATCAATACCCAAACTGGACTTTTCCTTTATTGCGGAGGCGTTTTACAAACAAATTGCACATGGACAAGAATTCCAACCCGGAACAATCATTTGTACCTCATACAAATTGCCCATACGTGATTCGAACGCAGATTACAAATTATATTTAAATCTACTTATCTCTATGTTAATTAATGTCTTAAAATAATAAACACACAATAAACTCAATTAGTAGCTGTCTTTTTTATGTTTTTAGATTTTTGTAGCAATAATTTATTTGCATAATCTAAAGAAATCAATTTATTTATTATCTCTTTGTATGTGTACTGATTACAAATATCAGTTATTGTTCCGTCGCCGTCAACAATCACATAAATAATATATCAAGGAAATCAAATTGATAAACCTCTATGCAATTTTCCATATTTCCTACTGCAAATATTGATATTAATTTCCTGAACTATTTTATGTGTCATCATATTAACTTTAATGGGCACATGTTAATTTTAATAAATATAGATCTTTATACTTACCACCTAAAGTTGAGTTTCCAATTAAAACCACCCCACGTCATGTCGGACGCCTGTATGTACTCGAAGGTCGTGTCGGAAATAACATCAATGATGGGACACACTACAGTTGTTCTGTCTTCCACAATTCTAGCTAGTAGCGGTTCCAACCAGCCCTCTGTTAAATTAAGAGTTTAGTACAACTTTTTTTATAGAATTAGGGTGACAAGCGAGCACACAGCCCAGCTGATGATAAGTGTATGCTGTGTCCCAGACATTTACATCTACCCAACACCACTACTCCCAACACCACTACACTGGGATTAGTGGTGACGGTGATAGTGCACGCAATTGAGGGAGGGCGGGAGGTGCTCTTCAAACTAGGTAAGATACATCATTTTATTTTATCGAGCGGATATACGCGAAGTATTTTTTTACCAACTTTAATATAATGGACTTCCGCAAAGTAACGCCTGATTCTATTAATTATTTACATCTATCCTCGATTAAGAATCAAAATACAGATACATTGTCACCCCTGAGGACAAAGATGATATGTCTCGTATCCAGTAAAAAGGGCGTCTAGTACTCTACACTCATCATACGAATCATTGAGCTGCTATTCTAAGCTAGTATTCCATTCTTTGTCCAATAACTTTGACATATTATGTTCTTACTTAAAACGGTGACGATCTACTCACTAGCTGATTTCGAAGGACGCCTAATGTTTTATGCCCCCCCCCCCCCTCCCTACATTTTATTATGGGCACCATTAAAACAGGTCTCCTCACATTTCTGAGTGTAATGGAGCTATTAGTCTACCTCGGTGCTCTAATGTATGATGGCGACGGAACAGATAAATTAGTGTTGGCGAACTTTACATGTCCTCGAAATATTTTATTTCTCCATAGATCGTCAAGAAAACTGTTTATCTAGGTTTTTTTTAGGATAGGGTGATAAACGAGCTGTATGCGTTAAGCTGCTATTTTACGCTGGTATTCTGTGAGAGCGTGGTCCTTCCCCGGTCGAGCCGACCCATTCGTGCTACAACTATTATACTAATATAGCTGCAACATGGCTCTACCACTTATAAGGTTTCCTGACGATGTATTTCTTCATTACCGGTTACTTGGTAAATCCGTACTTTTTTACAAAATAAAGTTACAAACGAACTTCCAGCCCACCTGGTGAGTTTCTATTGCAGCCCATGACTCTGTAACCAGCTTCTAACGAAGAAGACTACAGATGTGTAGTAACCTCAAAGGATTCAAGAGTGATTGCTTTACAGCCTGTAGTAAAACTGACTTTCTATACCCTTCAGATAAGATTTGCAAGCACTGCTTTTTGGTGGCAGAAGAAGGTGATACCTATCCAGACAGGCTCCTTGGCAGAAGGGAATTCTACTATGTAATAAAATCGAACACTTAAAATTGCAATTAACAATTTCATAAGTGCCAGTGGGAAACGAACTCTGTTTGGTTGCGTTCACTGAAATTGATGATGATAATTGATTGATTAAACTTAAAAGAAATACCATGACCAATTTTGACCACATCTGTTTTCGGTTGGAAATAATCAACTGGACAACTGTTCTGTTTTAACAAAAAAACAATTGTGTTCAACTCATTATGAACTCAACGTCAATAGTTATACTACCTTTACTTAGTTTGTGTATTAATTTTTATAGCTTCAAATTTCGACTGTGGCAACCGTTGGGATGTGATGAAAAATGTATCAACAAATATCAAAATCACTACAATCCAATAAACAAAAAACTTATTTACGATAACATTAGATAATACAATTTCTAAATATTACCTGTGCATTCACAATGAGCATCTAAGAAGGTAATGACGTCCCCTTTGACGTGTTTAGCGCCCAAAAGTCGCGCTCGAATGAGTCCCGAGCGATTTTCCGTTCGGAAAAGGCGCGTCGGCACCGGCAGCGTTTTTATGTAGTCCTCAAGTTTTTTACCCAGGTGTTCTAAGAATTCATAGCATATAACATGAAAATTTTTAATTTGTTAACTTTTAATGTTTTATTTTATTCTAAGGAGTAGGAGAATCTAACGGTGTCTCTCACTTCCAAATTAAATAACTGTTAAGGCTACAGGAGGTCACTAAGAAACAGATAAACATACAGACGTATGTTAATACGTATAAAATACATCCGAAAACGTTATCCTCTTTCTGGGGCAGTTGATTAAAAAATATACTAATGTCATATTATAGGAGCACTCAAATATGGCTCATATAGTATTTCTGGTAGTGAAGTAAGAAAATCCATTTCGTAAAAGAAATTTACGAAAAAATGCTATAAACGACAATATGCAACAACCATGATGAAAACCGGCGTCAAAAGTAAAAAGGTGATAATAATTTAACTGCCAGTCCGATTGCCCATCGTCATTTTTCACCACAATTAATGTTCCCTGCAAGACACTGCCTCTCAATTTTAGGCGGAAGATAAAGGCCTTTCCTAGGCCTTCGACTGTGTTCATCATGAGACAAACAATAAACAGGAACTTACATTATGTTGTAAGAAATGTTGCTCTTAAATTTATTAGTTCACAATAAGGTAATAGAACTCAAATAGTTGTTATCAATGGTAACAGTTCCTCCAGAAGTAATAATGAGTGTTCCTCAAGGCTCACTTCTTGGCCCATTCGTGTTTTTAATATATATTGATGGCTTAGCTTATCTTGTGGGGGATAACCTCGATATAGTATTATTTGCTGATGCTACTTCATTAATTTACAAACTAAAATGACATTTAGTAATATATGACCAAGTGAATAATGCTATGTCAGGCTGAGGTTTTATCTGAACCAGTGGTAAAAGCATAAATGACTTTCAATAAGTATTATTTGTAATCTATCTTGAATAAAAATTATTCTATTGTATTCTATTAATGAGGGCAAGTAGTATATTTTCTAAATAATTGTTTTATTAAACACTGCAATTTCGCCTGCCAAGTTTGTTACCTACATATGTTAAATAACTTAATTAAAAAAAACTAAGACTCATACCTAAAAGTAAAATTGAAAAAGTAGTGCTTATGATCACTAATGATAAAGCTAGTAGTACCAGTTACTCTACTCCATCGAGTCAGTAATTCATTCTTGGGGCGATGTATACGCTTTTACAACAAAATTACAGAAAATATACAAAATTTGACCTGCTCAAAGTTCAAAAACTTTATTAAACTAAGTTTGTATAAAAAGGGTTATTATAATATTAAAGAATTTATAGATGACAATAACCCCTGGAAATGAGGTGATCGCTACCAAGCTATTTCTAATTTGTTGTGTTGTTAATTTGTGTAACATACATGATTGTAAACTGTTATTTTTTTTAAAAAAGTCCCGCTGGGTTTCTTGCTGGTTCTTCCCAGGACAGAGGTTTTTTTTTTTGAACCAGTGGTAATTATACAAAAGAGTGACTTTCAATAAGTATTATTTATAATCTATATGGAATAAAAAAGTTTCTGTTTCTGCTAATGATCGAACCAAATGACCCGGTTCGTAAGGCGAATCAATACTTGAATGATTGGGTAACAAGAAATGAATCAATGACACATATGTAATTAAGTACATTTATGAACATTGGAGATATTATTTAACTGTTTTCAGGAAAAAAGTTTGATAAAACATCAAATTTATTTTCTATGGGGTACTTAAGTAAGATATAGGGTTCACTATGAAAAAGTCTAATTGTCTAATTAGTAAAATGTCCATGTAGGAATATGGCCATTTATCAAAAATTATGTAGTAAGCAAGTAAAAAAAACCGTCTAATAAGCAAATTGTCACATTCTCAAAATGTATGGACACTTAGACACCAAAATAAAGGAAATACCTATCAAGAAATATCAGTGTTAGATAACCTACTATGTGATGCTTAAAGGCGCAGACACTTATGTAATATAAAAATTAGGCACAAAGTGCAATTGAATACAGGTTTAAAAGAATTCCCCTACTCCCACTGGTGGATGAAACCCATAGATATACAGGTCGCTTTAAAAAATTAAATGAACTAATGTTTTAATCCATTAATTTGTTTATCAAAAGATTGTCAGTACATATCCTGGCACACATACTCTGATTTTATTTTAAATGTTTATTGTTGCCTTTTCTAATTTCAAATAACGATGTTTGGTAATAACTTTTACTAAACTCTATTGATAATTCATATAATAATTATATACTAATTTTATTTACTAATATTAAGTAATTATTGGTTATCTTTATACATAAAAATTACGTGTCACATTGTTTGTCCGCGATGAACACTGTGCAGTTTGGTCCAACTTGAGACATAGGATAGTTTTCATTCTGATAAGTGACACTCAATATTTATTATTAACGAATTTAAGGATTTTTTCATATGAAGGGTTGTCAAAAAGGGCAGAACAACGTCTGCCTGGCCAGCTAGTATAATATATAACATAATTATAAGGAGCACTATAATTTCTTTGAAATAATTACCTTGACTATTTAATGAAGGTCTACTACTACTAACGTTTATGAACATAAAAATTAACAAAATAACGAATTTGCTGTATAGATATTTCGTTGTACAGATGTTATGGTAATTGGAGGTTTTTTTATGTACATTTTACTAATGTATGTCTAATACAGCAAATTACTTTCATGTCATTAGACATTTTACTACATAGGCCTTCTGACTTGATGGTAATATAGTAACATACCTTTTTCACTGGCATCATCAACCAAAATAATCTCTTTGAGCAAGGGTCGTGGTGAACGATTGATGGTACTCCAAATGGTACGGATTAATGTTGTCCATGCCTCATTGTGGAAAACAATCACCACACTTGTTGTTGGCAATAGGTCTGGATACGGCTTGTTCTTACACCTAAGATATTAGACTCAATGTTATTGGGAGATAAACTTATCTATATAGTTGTAGTATTAAAAATTCCAAGATTTTAAGAAATTGCCTAAGAAATATGAATATATGGTTATGGCAATCATTACTGTAACTGGCATTTCCATCATACAAATTACAGAATAAGTTTTGGTAGTTCTTAACTTGAAAAATGATGACTATAGGACTATAATACATTATTTATTATAAACTTACTTCTCAAATCTAACATCTGTTAGTGATCTATTCAATGAAATCATATCACTAGCCAATAAATTGAACTGATTCTCTTGAAATTTATCCAACATTAGCTTTTCTTGTTCAATTGGAATGTTTACAGCTTTACCTAAAATATAAATATATTGACATCATTTGCTTCATGCCAAAAATTAAACAAAACAACCACTGACATGATAAAAATTTAAATCACATCAAATTAAAGCAATAACTTTGATTAACAAATGTTTAATAAATATACCCATTTCTCCAGGAGAATCATCCTGAGGCCTGACAGGGGACACAGGCGCCCATCTCTTGAGCCTTGACCTTGGATATGGAGGCAGTATTAACCCATCATCACCAATATCCTGCTCTATTTCATTCTCTTCCAAATTTGTGTCTCCATCTTCTATATTGCTTTGTAAAGCTGCTGCTATTGCAGCTTTTTTGCCACGAAATTCTTCTTTACTCTAGGAGATGCAATTAATTATAATTTTATTTCACATATCTTTTACAAATAATATGACGATAAATACTATTAATATAAATAGTGCACAATACTATACAAATAAATAAAATTGTAGTTTGTTTGTTATGTAAAAATAACAGCTTTTTACTAAATTCATATGAAAGTATATATGGTACTTATAACAAAAACACTATTTTTAAAATTTTTGTATGTCTGTCTGTTTGTTCCGACTAATCTCCAAAATGGCTGGACCGATTTTAACAGGACTTTCACTGGCAGATAGCTGGTGTTATAAGGAGTAACATAGGCTACTTTTATTTTAGAAAAAGAATTATGGATCTGCGTAAAAAAAATTAAACCCATAAAATCCAATCATAATAAAATACCAGCGGGCGAAGTAGCGGGGAACAGCTAGTTTCATAATATATCTATGTTAATAATTAACTAACTCAAACACTACACATCGTATGAAACGTCATGAATTAAAAATAAGTAAATGAAATGTGATTAAAACTGTAAAAATACTTTTCTTCAAAATTATAAAGTATAAACATTATTATTTAAATAATATTAAATATATTTTGATCATCATTACAGCCCATTGGAGTCCGCTGCTGAACAGAGATATTTGCCAGTTCTTGGCAGGCAGGTTTGCAACAACAATTTTTTTTTATTTTCTAGTTGTTATTAGGAAAATGATTTCATCTGGTTTGTTTTCCTATTTCGCCACTTAAGATATATTTCAATATTAAGGGTTAGTTAGTCTAGTCCTTTCTTTTGTAATTTCTATTAACTTTAGCACAAACAACCCCTTCTTAAACCGATTAGGTCCCCATTGCCTTTTTTAAATTTAGCACCTAATTAAAAGTTAAATATTTGGATACAAAGTAACATATTCTTTCAAGCTCCAACTTTCTCAGATGTGTTACTTTTCAATCAATTTTGTTTTTGTACGAAATTTTTGTGGGTAATTAAATTTTATAGTGCTGTTTTCTTGTTTTTTGAATATATACCACACTAACACTAAACTTACTCTGAGAGCAATTTCATTTGTCTTCTTACTACAACCTTCACCGAAACAATCAGAGTACATAGCCAAGAGTGCAACATCTACAAGTAACCACACTAAAGATGTCAACAATATTATGCGACATGTGTGTATCCTTATTTTACTTCGAAACATTCTCACAAAAAATACTTCACTATGTACTTTTCTTTCAGTGCCACATGACACCAATTTGACTCACCGCCGACCTGCAAATAACAAAGGTATGAAGATACACCGAGTATCTAGCGGAAAGCTCATGGTATTTTGACTTGATATAAGGCGAAACTCTGTTAGTTAATTCACCTCAAATTATAAGGTAATCCTATTGGAAAATATATAAGTATTCACAAAAGTAGGTTCCCGGATTTAAATAATAGTAATTTTTAATGTGGTTTGATGAACTCTAAGCAATTCAAAAGAACTTAGACGTGCCAGAATTAATATTTAAGTTTTAAATTCACGCTTTACTGCTAGTTAATCACTAAATATTTTTAATTTCTTAACAACATCACTTCGCCAAATCTACACTACACTCGTCACTCGACACGACAATGTCTATGTTGGTCTATGCTATGTCTCCATTCTCCAGGTAAATTGTCTACGACTACGAGTACGAGGACGAAGTGTAGCGTAGCTGCTGTCAAAGAGTACATACCACAGACTAACTAGCAGGTACTTATTTATTTTATTTACTCCATATAAATAATATAATCACTACGATATTTGGTAGATTGGTAGCTTTAGTATCTACAAATCTGTCTCTATGTCACAGAACTAGCGCTTTCAATTTTTATTTCGATTTCCTTCCTCTTTGCAACCCTGATTTTCCCCGCGTTTATGTTAACAATTCCCTGCGATATACGACGAATTATAGAAATAAAACATATTTTATGTTTTACCGTAATATTAGTCATATTATTAGTAACAAAAACTTAGGTGCCCTTTTAAAAAAATATCTTTTACAGAAAAAAAATTAAAGTAATAATTAGCAACCAAAGAAGCGAGAGAGGTATGTTGTGTCATGATCGTGCCAAATGGAAGTTCATAGTCTTGAGTGACAGGCGTGAGAGTTTATGTTATTTTTCTTATTGTTGTTATTCTATCCTGTACCGGTCTAGTAGACTGCTTGTAAGCTGCTTGTGAAGAGTGCTGAGTTTTCGAATACTGTTATGATAATTTAGTAGCTCGCTTTTTGATTGCCGATCAACGTTCTGTATTTAGAGAGTAGATTTACGAGAGTACATTTGAGAAGATTTTCGTAGTCATATGTATATATATGTTTGGATAGTTTTGAACAACAGTTTGGACTTTAGGGCAACACGGAGCACCGGCAGACCGGAGGGGAGTAGGCATACGCAAGCGTTCCCCTCTGTCATAGTATAAGTCTACGCGGTCTTATGCGTACAAAAAAGCTAGATGCAAACGCATTGCTCACTAGACTAAATCTAGTTGCGCGGCTGAATCTATATCCTACAAAAATGCCACATTGTTCAGTTAGTTTGCTGTAAAAAAATTAAAATTTACAAAATGATGGCGTTATTTTTCACATATAAATAGTTTTTAATCAATTCGTTGCTATTTACTTCTTTTTAAATTTAAAAATTACAATATCAAGGACCGCGTTGTTTCGGAATTGTTTAACAATACAGGCCGCTCGCCCTCATACAATGTGCAGATCGGTCGATCAACTGATCCGAGTCTGTATCCGAGTTGTCGCTGTCAACGAGCGATGCTGCTATATTGTATCTATGTGTGTGTGAAATTTGTTATTTTATTGTTTTAACTGTTATGTGTGAGTTTCGTAGTCAGATGATTGTTTTCATGTGCGCAGATTTCCCCCTGCAAGACAGACAGTTCTGTATCGGGAAAAAACTACTGTCCTCCGGTGCGCTGGTAGCCCGTATTGCTCCAGGTCCAGTATGCCCAAAGAGGGCACGGGCTTCCTCTCATTTAAATATCGTAAAAATTCTGCTAACCATAAGCTTGCAAAATATAAAGTAGCAACACAGCCATTACACCTTTTAGAATAATAAGTAATCCTAATGACTCATAATAAAATGCACTTATTTCTTGAACACGTTCATTTCCTTTTTTTTTGTTACGTTATATCTACATTAAATTCAGAAAAAGTTCTTTATTATAATTATTAATTTAGATACTTACTTATTACTTAATTAGGTATTTATTACTAATAAATTAATAGCAATAAATACCTGCCTACTTAAAAAGTATCGTTTCATATATTTTTTTAAGAAATCTATCGAAAATGCTTTTACTAGACAGTATGACTTCTTTTTTGCCTAGGCCTCCGTCTGAACCATACTCTAATCTATTTCCTATTTCTTGTCTGTGTTATGGCCTGAGGGCCTACTCTTTTATAGAGAGCTAATATAATTACTGGCTGTGAGACATTCCATCCTAGGAGTAATACAATCCAATATCATCAGGTTGACTGTAAGTTAACATTATTAGCTGAAGTTTCTTTATCCTATAACTGTGGATTATCCACTATTTATGTTTTTTCTAAACGCTTTGTTATAATATTGCGATTCATGTAACGTTCATAACAGGAGACGTAGTGTTAGCAACTTCCAACTTCAACACCCATCTTCTTCAACGTGCGAGCTATGTGAACTTTAAAATTTTTATATGTGTGTAGTCATTGCTCATCATAGACTAACTAGTGGGTCCTGCCCAGTTTTGCCGATGCCCATGTGTTTTCTTGACGCGGCGTCGCACACGATTCGGTTTAGCTACATATTTATTTATCTATGATTCGGTTTGGCTTCGCTGACTAAGTGTATAGCTGGCATTATATAATAAAAATAATAATAATCTTTATTTCTCTCTACAAAATAACATTTTAAAAATATCATATAATTTAAATATTAAGTAACTTACAAATGCTAGTTGTAGAGGCTGGTGACGATACTAGGATTCCCTGTGCTACATCCACCAGGCCTCCACCTCCGGACAAAGAATAACGTGTAATATATATTCTGATGAAGAATGTATTTAAAAAGAAATATAATATATATTTAAAAAAGAGTAAAATAAGCAAAAAGGAGTATGTACGTGTCTTCGTGGGTGTGTTTGCGTGATGTGGGTGTGAGAGCTTGTTCAAGTGGATCACATTGTTTTGATATAAGTGCCTCACTTTTATCATAGTCTTTAGTCAAGAACCATGTTTTTAAAGTATATTTACAGTTTGCTCTCGTTAAAGAGTATTTAGCCAGTATACGGTTCAACTTATTATATAGTAACGGTCCAATAAAACAAAAAACCTTTTTGCGAATGCTCTTCTAAGTCTTTGGTGGACACAGACAATGTCGTTTTTTCTTAAGCGTTGTGTCGAAGTGTCGTACGAAGTTTTAGAATGTTGTTTTAAGACAATTTACAATATAAAGAGTTGACGAACTGTTAGTACATTCCATTCCTTGTATAAATCTTTAGTCGGATAAAGAAAATGGTGAAACTTTGCAACCTTTAGGATGGCTCTTTGGGCCACCCCCCAGAGAGATTAAATAGGATTTAGCCGCACCTCCCCACACAGAAATACAATATGAGAATAAGGATTGACAAAAAGCAAAATAGACGTTGTGTATAATTTTGAAGTCAGCAATTTGACGAAGGGTTCTATAAACGTATTAGAGCTTACGTGCACGAGCCGTAAGTTGCTTAATATGAGAGCTTAAGGATAAGTTCTGGTCAATGATTATGCCCAAGTATTTAATTTTGGTAACAGTTTCTAATCTAGTACAGCTACTAGATCGCAGGTATGAGCTATGAGTGAAAGGTTTTTATCTAAAGGGAGAGAAACATTACAATATGTATTACATTACAATATATATTACATTTAATACCGTAATAAGTATATTCAATATCTAATCAATCTAATAATAATAATAATAATAAAAGTTTTATTACAAATATATATACCATGGTAGACTTCTTCTATTGAACGCATAATCATTAGCTATAATGAGCACTTATTTTGAAAGCGACAATTAGTAAACGATCTCTACGAGTAGTATGTACATAGATACCTCTGTAAAGCTTAGCGATTTGTACACAGTATTTGTTACACCTAAAAGCAATTTAATCAAATCATTATTAAAAAAAAACATTATTTTTACCCTTTAAAAAAATTAACGTTGAAAACAAGCATCCAGTCGCAGACTATTTATTTTACAGCATAGCAAAACTTGTTCAGTGTAGGAACGAAGCCTTGATCCTGCAGTGCCGCAGCCAAACGCTTAGCCACTGCGCTACGTAGTCGTCATTTATTTTTTACTTAATTAATTACTAGTATAATAGTGTGTTTCTATACATATTTACCTAATAATTGTAGAGATATAATTACAAATTGCTATGTGTAAATTACACTGATTTCTTAACCTCATCGGCATTTTTACTCAATCCCCACGTAAAAATTTTTATTTCTCATAAATAATTCAGTATAGAGATCTAACTTTTATTATTTAAAAATATCGATAAACAATATATCGATAATATTATTCGAGTATATACATTTTCCCCACTATTGTAATTCGTCAATGTTGTCAGCACTGTTTGTCAAAACTAAATATCATATCTTGATGTTGGTAGAGTAGCTTGGCATACTTTCATACATTTACTTTTACTATGGAAGTCCCGTCTCTTAAACGTAGTGATTATATTCTCTTTCGTCGTAGCTGATATATTATAAGTAATATAATACTTGAATTTACGCACTAATTGTATTTTTAAGAAATATTTATTACGGATCTCTTGTTCACTCTGACAATTGACATTGACAATTACGTATGGAAAATGTAACAAATTTGGTTTTGTCAATATTAATCGTTAATAAATTCCCATTTAACCACTTAGAACTTTATTTAATCCAGATTGTGCATAATCAAACGTATCTTTCCAATCATCGCTGCTAAAAATTAATGCTTTATCATCTGCAAAGGACAGAATACTCCCACTAGATACCTTCATTGAACATAAATCTGCCTTGGGGTATTCCGTACGTTATTGTTTCTTCCTCGCTGGTGTGCTCTCCAATTTGAACACACTGTGTTCTACCTGTAAGGTAACTTTTAAACAAATCTAGTTGCAAATTCTTGACAACTAATCCCTCAAGCTTATTTATTAGAAGCGGGATAGAGACAGTGTCGAACGCCTTCGCTAAGTCCAGTAATATTGCTACACACTTTTTACCGTCATCCATCCACCGAACTATACGATCTGTGAGCTCGTGAACCACATCATCTGTGGACCTACCTGCACGAAACCATATTGTTGCTCCGAAAGAAGCTTGTTTGTTTCAAGGTAGTTCACAAGTCTTTTGTTGATCACGCGTTCCAGAATTTTTGATAGGTATGTAATTGGAGACAATGCCTCTGTCACCACTTTTGTAAATTGGGCGAATAATACTTTTCTTAAAAGCACGAGGAAAAATGCTAGTAGAAAGAGTGATGTTGCACAGGTATGTTATCGGGGGTACAAGTATATCTTTGTAAGTCTTTAGTAAGTCACTTGATATACCGTCCCATCCTGTAGTACAACTAT